AAAAAAAAAAAAAAAAAATTCAACCCCCCTATTATTGCCTTCGCTCGTGAATTCACCAGAAATTAGATCATTACCTTATTTTTATTAAGCTTTGATTGTAAGTATAGCTCATATTTACTTCAATCTCCCATATTAGAAGTGTTTTGGGTCTTAATTTAGAAGTTTGATGATATTTTTGTGACCAGAAATAAGCCATAGCAACTTAATTCTTGCTTATATCCATTAACCTATGGTAAAAGTAGTTTCATTTTACATCGTTTTGTTTAAAGTTGCAATTTTCAAGAACCTACCCACAGCATTAAGTGAGGACTTATTGTATAAAGAGATTTGTTACAGGGGATTTGCTACAGTTGAGAGTGCTGGTTAAACAGCCTTGGTATCTGAAGATGTCCTCTGAAGTCCACAGGGCAGGCAGTTGAGAAGGGAAGATGTATGTAGAGGTGGGGAGCAAGGTGACACCAAGAGCACCAGTGGGGACCCACGAGGATGGACTCATGTCAGTCTCCCTGACTCCAACCCAGATGAAGTGAATATCCTGCAGGATAGGTGGGGACCTTTCACTGTGGGGCCGTCACATTCCTGGCCCAGGGGTAAGAGAAGCTGCAGCTCACAGGATAAGGCAGGACAGCTGTAGGCCTCGCTGCGGTGAGCCTGTGAGCCTGTGGATAACCCTCCTCATGTAAATGAGCACTCAGCATGCTCCAAGCTTCCTAGCACAAAACCCAAAAAGAGCTGCTGTCTCACTTTCGTCTTCCAAATCTCATGTCAAAACGTCTCTTGTGGCCACCCTACCTAGAAATGTAAGAGAAGGAAATTTTGGGACTGGTAGTTTGCCCTAGCCAAGCTAACATGTTACAAAGCTGCTATAGTCAGCCATTTGTCAACTTGGCAACTATACATATCTCTTAAAACCATATGTAGTTCCCTAATGGAGACAATAACAGTCAGCCTTTCATCTAACATGATACAACCATCCCCCGTACAACAAGCATGCCAACCCCGTCCCTAAAAGAGAGGACACAAAGTTTCTTTTTTTGTCTTTGGGTGATGTTCGTTCTTCTTCAAACTGATTCACAGTTCTCTTTGCTATCTTTTAACTTAAATATGGAAATATAAAGTTAACTGTTATTAACATGTGTTACATTAGATGACAGGGGACTGAGACAGTGGGGGAAAAAACTGAGAATATTTGGTTAATATACAGACAAACGTATGCATATAAAAAGAGAACCAGATAAGGTGGCTCGCACCTGTAATCCCAGCACTTTGGGAGGTCGAGGCTTAACACCAGGAGTTTGAGACCAGCCTGGACTACATAGCAAGACCCCATCTGTACAAAAAATTAAAAAATTAGCTAATATGGTGTTCTGTGCCTCTAGTCCCAGTTACTTGAGAGGCTGAGGCAGAGGATCACTGGAGCACAAGAGTTTGAGGCTGCAGTGAGGTATGACTGCACCATTGACTCCAGCCCAGGTGACAGAGCAAGACCTTGTCACTAAAGAAATAAAAAGGGATATGAATATTTTATATCGTAACTATTGCAGTGCTTATTTCTGTAACCGGTCATGTGATAGCAGCTATTTTTTTTTTTTTTTTTGAGTTGGAGTCTCACTTTGTTGCCCAGGCTGGAGTGCAGTGGCATGCTCACGGCTATCCCAGCATCAACCTGCTGGGTTCAGGCGATCCTTCAGCCTCAGCCTTCCAAGTAGCTGGAATTACAGGCATGCACCACCATGCCTGGCTAATTTTTTTATTTATTGTAGAGATGAGGTCTCGCCAAGTTGTCTGGGCTGCTCTTGAACCTGTGGGCTCAGGCAATCCTCTCACCTCAGCCTCTCAAGGTGCTGGGATTATAGGTATGAGCCACTGCGCTTGGTCTATATCTCTCCCTCCCTCCATCCCTTCCTTCCTTCCTGTCAGAGTCTCACTCTGTCATCCTGGCTGGAGTACAGTGGCACACTTACGGCCACCGCAGCCTCGACCTGCTGGGCTCAGGTGATCCTTCCACTTCAGCTTTCCAAGTAGCTGGAATCACAGGTGTGTGCCACCACACCTGGCTAATTTATTTATTTATTGTAGAGATGAGGTCTCGCCAAGTTGCCCAGGCTGGTCTCGAACCCCTGGTTCAGGCAATCCTCTCGCCTCTGCCTCCCAAAGTGCTGGGATTACAGGCATGAGCCACCACGTCTGGCTGAGTTGTTCTCTCTTTCCATTGATTTCACTCATAGAACCTGGGAGCGCTGCATTATGGATGTCTCTTCCTTATACACACTGTACAGGAGCAGTCCAATTTTCCCCCTGATCGTCAAGCTTGGTCTGTGGTTGATTCTCCTTCTCTGCCTGCAGGTTTACAAATGACCAGAGGAGGCAGTCTCAACTTCCAGTTCCAGGGAATCATTATCTGTGTCCCCAGGTGGAAGCATTCTTCTCTTTGCAACGAAGACTTCTAGATCAGCAGAGCTTGACATTGTGGGGAAAGGAAGCAAACACTGCCTTAGAGGCTTACCAGGAGTCATTGCATGTGCAACCATGCCATTTCCACACGTTGATTTCTGACCCCAAGAGTCCTGGTGACAGGAGAAACAGGACCATAAATCAAAACCTGATCTGGAGGACCCTATCCCAGCCCCACAAGGCATTTCCACCTAGCTGCCACAGTAACTGAGCCTTTCAAAGGCCATTCTTCTATTCTGTCAAGTTGGTGGCTTCAGGTTGACAGGGATCCTTGTAAGACCAGCGAATTCCATGAGCCGGGCCCCATCACCAGCCTTCGTTTGCTGTGAAGCGAGTCACAGGTGGAGCTGTATGGAATATCACAGTGATGGATAAAGCATTCTGTAGTTCATGGACAGTGGTTTTAGCAGAAACGCTGTGAGGGAGGGAGGCAAATCCATATCCACAGCAAATGTCAAGTCCAGGAGAATAAAGCACTGCCTTTTCCAAGATGGATGCGGTCCAACGTAATCAACTCGCCACAGCTGATCTGCTTGAAGATGGCACTATTGAGAAGTTCAGTGGTGTACCCGAATCCACCTTGGTGAGTGGAAGTCAGTACTGCCGAGCCAATGCATAAAACCTCATCTCTAACCATGCCCCATTTGTTCATGAGCCAATATATGCCTCCTAGTGGCTCTGCTTCTCTGTTTGAACCTGGACTGGTGAATCGGGTACTGAGAGTGGTTTCAGAGGAACAGAACCCTAAGGGCTAGGTTCTCTGAATTGGTTTTGGATTGGTTTTGAATTGGTTTTGGAACTGGCTCTCTCATCTTGCTTTTATAGTAACAATCTACATTTATATATAAATCACTGAAACTACTATACAAAATTGAATAAACTTTTTGATGGCACACATGAGAAAGGGTATTCAGGTTATACTTACTAAGGACTGAATCAACATACTAAGACAACTTTTCTGAATATCAGCAGGTATATTGGCAAAGCTTCTCTCAGACCAAAACCTTGCAAAGTGCTTTACAATCCACCTGTTAAAATCAAGGAATTTCAAGTTAGAGAAATGAAAATATTTTTCATTATAACAGTCAATAACATTTTGGTTTTCAATCATACAAACTGCACATGTATATGTTTTGTCTAATGTTTACTACTAATTTTATGAGCTCTCAGATGAACTTAACCATGTTCTCTTTTCTGTAAACACGTATTTTAAACTCATTTTGGGTTTTGCGCACAGATTTTTAACATAATAACTATGGTTCAGCTAAAATAAAATGCCTCCAAATATCTTGAATAATGTCTAAAATTAATGTTCCTACTCAGTTGGTGGAACTAGTTAAAGCACTAAGCTACTTACGTCGTGCTGAAGAAAACAGGCCAACTCTAAAACTGCCTGCAACACTAGAAGCGTGGAAAAACAAAATCCCTAAATTAAAAGTATCAGCGCCACTTAAGACAACTTACTTCATGCAGTCAGCAAACAGACTCTCCACTCCAACCGAATGAGCAATAATCAGGCACTCTAGTGTAGACACCAGTGTCCTGGGAACAGGCTGAAATGGATAGAAAACACCGCATGGATGCATTTTCAACTTAAATATTTGGTTCACAAAGAAAATCTGATTTATATACCTAAACTTCAGAATAAATCCACACAATTCAATATCCACTTTCTCTATTTAAGTCTTTATTTGCTAGTAACTTCAGCGGGGACTCTGGCTGTAGACATGCTCTCATCAGAGTCTTACTTTTTTTTTCCTTAAAAAAACCTCTTCACGCAAAAACCTGAACATAGATGTTTATAGAAGCTTTTTTCATAACTGCCCAATCTTGGAAGCAACCATGATGGCCTTCAGTGGGCGAATGGATATGTAAACCATGATACATCTATGCAATGGAATAGTCAGCTCTAAAAGAGATAAGCTATCAAGCCACGAAGACACGGAGGAATCTTAAATGCAGGGATGGAGGAATCTTAACTGCTAAGTGAAAGAAGCCAATCTAAAAGTTATACACTATACGATTCCAACTACATTCTAGAAAAACAAGAACTATGGAGACAGTAAAAATATATCAGTGATTTCTGGGGTTTAGTGGGGAGGGAGGGATAGATACGCAAAGCACAGAGGATTTCAGGGTACTGACAATACTCTCCGTGACACTATCATGGTGGATACACATCATTGGACATTTGTCCAAATCCATAGAATGTACAACACTAAGAGTGAAGCTTATTGTAAACTCTAGACTTTAGGTGATAATGTGCCAATGTAAGTTCATGAATTGTAGCAAATGTACTCACTCCTGTGGGTATTTTGTGTTGTGAGTCCTCACCATGCTTGGTGTTCTGTGTTAGGTATCCTCACCGCTCTTGGGTTGTGTGTTATGTAGCCTCACCAATCTTGGTGTTCTATGTTGTGTATCCTCACTGCTCTTGGTATTTTGTAATGTGTAGTCTCACTGCTCTTGGTATTTTGTGTTGTGTAGCCTCACTGCTCTTGGTATTTTGTGTTGTGTAGCCTCACTGCTCTTGGTGTTTTACGTTGTATAGCTTCCCTGCCCTTGGTGTTAAGTCTTTGGGCTACGTATTGACCATGCCTTGTATTTTCAGTGTTGAAATGTTTCTAAGCATATCTGTTTCCCACTTAGGTTGAATGGTGTTTAACTTATCTTTATATACATTTATTAGTTGTGATTTGGGGTCTGTACTCTTAATAAAGACAGGCAATCAGTCCATTTGTATATCTAGTCTCTAATTGTGTACTTCCAAAGATCCCTTGGAAAATATCAAGCACAGTTCTTTTAATAAGGTCAGTGATTTCCAGCTCTAATTATGAACTGCTATTCATTTGATTTTCTAATTCCCTTCTCCTAAAAGTATTATGTTAGTATTCAAGAAATTGAATGCACATATTTTGCTTTGCATATTAACAACTTAGATAATTAAAATGCCTTTGAGATAATTGGAAGTACTCTAAGTTGTCACAAAAATCAGAAATGACCACTACTATAAAGATTACACAGTGATCATTCTACCAAGTTAAATAATCTGGTTTCCTAACCCACTTCAGATGAGAGTATTAAATTAGTGTGAGAGAAGGGGCTAGTGATTACTGACATACTTACCAGCCTAAGAGCATCTAGAAATCTTAACAAATTGTAAAAGTAAGCATAAGAGTTAAAAAGCCCAGCAGTCCAACCTTATTTAGGAATAATCAGCTTTGTGCATCACAATAAGAAAAATTTCCATTAAAATTATTAAAATATAAAATAATTTGCAGCTTAAAGCAGAGACTGGCAAACTATAGCCTATGAGCCAATTCTAGTCCACCATTGTTTTTTGTGAATAAAATTTTATTGAAACATCACCGTGATGCTTCCTTTGTATATTGTTGATAGCTGTTTTGCTCTATACAGCAGAGTAGTTGTGAGGGAGACTTTATGGCCCACAAAGCCTAAAATATTTACTATCTGGCTAGGCACAGTAGCTTACACCTGTAATCGTAGCACCCTGGGAGGCTAAGGCAGGAGGATCACTTGATGCCAGAAGCTGGAGATCAGCTTGGGCAACATAATGAGACCCAATGTCTAAAACAAAAATATTTTAAAAAATTAGCCAGGTCCTAACTACTCAGGAGACTGAGGTGGGAGGATTGCTTGAGTCCAGGAGTTCAAGGCTACAGTGAGTTATGATTGCACCACTGTACTCTGGCCTGGCTGACAGAGTGGGACTCTGCCTCTAAAAAAAATAAAAATAAAAATAAAACCTGTCTTGAAGGGACACCTTTGGCTGTCTGAGAATTCACTTACATGTTGATGTTGATTCCCAAGTGTTTTTATAATAGGATGACTGTCATTCTCAAAACCTGCATATAGAATTTGGGAAGATATATACTTAAACCATTACCTAAAATATATTATTTATTATTTTATGGAGACAGATTCTTTCTCTGTTGCTCAAACTGGAGCACAGTGGTTCTATCATGGCTCACTGCAGCCTCAAACTCCTGGGTTCAAGTGATTCTCCATCCTTATCCTCCAGAGTAGTTGGGATTATAGGAGTGCATCACCACATCCAGCTAACTTTTAAAATTTTTTTGTAGAGACAGGATCTTGCTATGTTGCCCAGATTCTAAGAAATACTTTTAAATTGGTAGCAAAAATATACATGTAAAGCTTACAATAATGCTATAAATTAAGTCTAAAGTTTTTAATTGTGCAAAAGGCAGGATTGTGAAGCTAATGAAGTGACTGAAGCTAGTTTGCCAGGAGTTTTGAAGCCAGTTATCCATCACACTATACTCACATTTGCATTACTATGGAATGTTATAAGTTTACTATATTTAAATCACTGCCAAGAACCAAAAGTTAAAAATTATAGATACAAAAGCATTCTTATAAAAAAATCATCAAAATATATAAAGCAAAAAAGTTTTAGGATCATATCAATAAAAATAAAAACTGTTCTCTAAAATATCTGTTGCCACAGAAATAGAGACTATGTTAAAATAAATGAAATAAAATAAAACAAGTTTTCAACAAAATACCATATTGACAATTTTAAAAGAAACTTCATTTTTCTGTGGTTTTAACAGAAACAAATATGTCTTTTGTGTTTTTAAAATTAAGCGGATTATTGAAAGTAAAATTCAAAAGGCTGTGCATAACCTACATATACTCAAGCACATATAAAAAAAAAAATAGAGGCAACGGCCCATAGACAGTCTGTAGAAGAGGTTCTTTTCACAATACTAAGCAGATGTAACCAGATCTCAGCTCAGAGGAGATACTAACACAACACTTTTTTTTTCCCAACTAGTGCTTTCAACCATGCTGTGGCAAATTCCCCCTTTTCCCACCCTTAATGACACTATAGGCCGACTGCAATTCTTTCTGGGTGCTTTTGTTATTGACATTCAGCAGTACTGCTTTAACACCAATCTCATCATGGCTGATAGAAGTCTTTCCCGTTCCATCACTGACTAGATTTATGGCTGGGAAGATCTAAAACAGGAAGCACGACATGGTGCAGTTTCCTGTTCCACTTTCTGGGTCAAACTCCTATGGAAGAGGGCTGTGGAAGGATACGGTGTCACAGAATGAAGCAGGGACCAGGACGGTAGCAGGGAGATGTCCTTGACTTTGCTCACAATTAGATGCTGGTGACCTCTACTGACAGGATGGCTCTTTTAGGAGGAGATCAAGCTTAAACCTAGCCTCTCTGTGAATAAGGACACTTCAAGTGGTTCATATGCACAATGCCTTCCTAGGTGGGACACAGCGTCACCTGGTCCTGTACCAGTGTCTTCTAACTTTCATGGAACCATTAAGATCCTCCTCCTTCCCCATGGATCATGAGTCAAAGGGATGCAGAGTGGACTCCCCACATTTTTTCTCTATATGATGATAACTATAGTCTCTTAACACAAAGCTAGCACTGGCTTCTCCAGCAAGCCTCTCCCTCTAGAATCTTCTCCTCTAAGTATATGCTCACCGGCTTCTCAGACATATCCAAGCTCTCTCACAAAACCTCTTAGCATTTGCTTTTCTTCTTTGATGGAAGCTCCAGGGTGAGATGGTTTCATAGATACAGTAAACAGCCATCTGTGGGTATCCTCAATGCAGATATTCCCAACTTTCACCTTTGCTTATGATTTTTTTTGGGGTCTCCCTCCTAACTTTTACTTGACTGGACATAGGAGGGGGACATATGAAGAAAAAAGAGAAGCTCTTTGCCAGAGTTCTTCACTCTCTACAAAGCTGGGGATACCACAGGCTGCCCATCTTCTTCCAATCCACTGATTTACATATAGAGGATGGAGTGGGTACCTGTTTAAAGGCAGCTGAGGGGTTTAACTGAGGGGAAAACTTGCAGATTGGTAGTGGTACTAACCCAGTTGTTCAAGGTTCTGTTTTAGCACAGGGGCTGCTTCTGCAGTTCCAAATTATAGAAAGATAGAAAGGCCTATACAACACAGACATCTAAATTTAAATCTGATCAAAATTACCTAATTAGAACTCATACAATTCACACTGTTACCTCAAGTACCCAAAAAGAGGGAAATATGATGTAAACAACTCTTTTAAGATTTGTTTTTGTGAACAAGATGCTGGCACAGCTGTGGAGAAAAGGGAATGCTTCTTCACTGTTGGTGGGAATGCAAGCTAGTTCAACCTCTATGGAAAGTAGCATGGCGGTTTCTAAAAGAACTAAAAAATTGAGTTTCCACAGGATCCAGTAATACCTCTCCTGGAAATATATCTGGAAGAACATAAATTGTTCTACCAAAAAAGATACCCGCACATGCATGTTTATAGCTGTACTCTTCCCAATAGGAAAAACATGGAACTAACTTAGATGCCCAACGAAAGTGGACTGGATAAAGAAAATGTGTATATATATATGATGGAATACTGTGCAGTCATAAAGAAGAACAAAATTATGGCCTTCGCAGTGACTTGGATGCAGCTGGAGACCATCATACTAAGTGAACTATCACAGAAACAAAGAACTGAATACAGCATGTTCTTACTCAAAAGTAGACCCTGACCACTAGTCACACTAGCACAAGAGTGGGACTGGCGGACACTGGGCACTGCTAGTAGGGGGAGATGGAGGGAGGAGGCAGGGAGAGGAGATTGTAGCAACACAAAGGGCTGAGGGGAGAGGGAGCCAGCTAGAAGCCCAAATGTTACCTGCACCAGCCTACTTATGCAGCAAATTCTCACCTGTACCCCACAACTCTAAAATTAAAAAAAAAAAAATTTGTTTTTTGTTGATTATAAAAAAAAATACATGCACTTCATAGAAAATTTAGAAAAGTATAAACAAGAAAATAAAAATAACCTGCAGTCAAAGAATACATAAAACAATGGAGAATCTAAGAATAATGTACACAAAATGGCTTTGAAATACATAGCATGAGATCTTTCTTTAGGCAGCTAATTAACCTACGTGTTAACTAAAATAAAAAAGAGTTAGGACTCACATCCCCCTTAAGAGACAGGTAGGAAAGAACTCTATTAATTCCAAGTATATGCTGTAAAGAGGGGTGGAAAAAGAAAGAGGTACACATTCGGGGAAAAGAACGAATAAAGCACTGTGGGGAGCTTTAATCAACAGACAAGGTAACCTTAGTTCTTGACTTCCCTTCTTGTAGTTCCAAACCCTTGGTCCCAGCTGTACACTCCACCTTTGAATTATACAAGATACTTCTACATCTTTTCAATAAATCTCCCATGTCAATTTGATCTTACTTAAAATTACTTGAATTCGTTTCTGATTTTTGCAAACAAACCGTATGCATTATAATTCAACTGGAGTTCCCATTCTTAGACTGACTTAATATTTCTAATAGTTAAAAGCACTATGCCTATCAGAGTGAAAAATCTAGTAGGTAATAATGGATGACGTAAGGCACTGGGGGAAAGATTTCTGAGACTCAATAATTACCTTCTGAAAGAAATTACAGTAATCTCTTCTTAAAATATAGATTGCTACTTCTTTTAATCCTTCTAGTCCATACATATCAGCCATATTGAGTATCTGACTAAAATAAAAATAGATGCACTGTTAATTCTGCAATTTTAAAATCAAGGCACAACACACAGTAATTTCTTGATAATATAGAGTCTGTTTAGAAAAAAGGATAATCTGAATTATTTTAATTTTTTGCCTTAGATATTGCTTATGTAAAAAGAGCATAAGCCAAAAGTGGAAAGCACTGACACTGACCCATGCTTTGATTAGTGGAAAATAACATGAAGTAAATTTGGAGACGTTTCTAACTCCTTCATATGCCCAGTGACACACAGAGCAAAATCCAGGAAATTGCTTTTTTGGGGGGTGAAGTGAGGGGTCAAGTCTTATTCAATCACCAAGGCTGGAGTGCAGTGGCACATGCCACCACTCACTGCAGCCTTGATCTGGGCTCAGGAGATCCTTCTGTTTCAGCTTCCCGATTAGCTGGGATTACAGGTGCCCACCGTAACCCCAACTAATTTTTTTATATTTTGTAGTGACCAGGTCTTACTATGTTGCCCAGACTGGTCTCGAACTCCTGGGCTCAAACAATCCTCTCACCTCGGCCTCCCAATGTGCTGGGATTACAGGCATGAGCCACTGCGCTCAGCCAAGAAATTGCTTTGAAGGCTGTAAACATTATAAAACTTTTTGCAACAAATATGTATAATAAAAGTTTTAAGCTGGGTATCATGGCTTATGCCTGTAATCCTAGCACTTTGGGAGGATGAGGGAAGAGGATTGCTTGAGTTCAGGAGTTTGAGACTAGCCTAGGAAACACAGCAAGACCTCTTCTCTACAAAAAGGAAAAAAAATTAGCCAGGCATGGAGATGTGGGCTAGTAATTGCCACTATTCGAGAGGCTGAAGCAGAAGAATTGCCTCAGCCTAGAAGGTTGAGGCTGTGGTGAGCCAAGATTGTGCCCCTGTATTCCAGCCTGGGTGACAGACTTCAACTCAAAAAAATAAAAAATAAGTAAAAGTTTTGGTGGTGGTGAGGGGGCAATTCATTTATGTTTTATTATACTGAAAATGTCTACAAATGACCCTATTATTGGAAACAGCATCCAATGACCAGAGTTTCCTTTGCTTCTTTCATTTGGCAAGTATTTCTGAGCACCTAGGATGCCCACAAGCCTTGAAAGCATGATAAAATTTCACATGGGTTGCCAAGAGATAAAACTAGTACTAATCCCTGAGACTCATAATATGCTCTCCCAAAAAACACATTTATTCAGTCTGAAATGAAAGAAATCAAAGAAAGTTTAAATTAAAAGAGTAGTTTCCACTTGTCTGATGTTGGAATAGCAAGTAAATTGGGAAGGCATCTGGAAACTTAAAAGAGCAGGAACTTCACTCTGCAGGAGAATTTCAGAAGCTTGGATGGCATTTCACTAGCGGGCACTTAAGAATCACATAGTGGTGAGTCTTTGGGATGCCCTATTATATATACTTTTTTCTATTATTCTCAGATAAATGTTAGAGTTCTTCTTTTTTTTCCTTTTGCTGTTTTAAACATGACATCCTAAAATTTTAAAAATGAAGAAGTAAAATAATTTTCAAAGAAGTTTGACCAATTTTATTTTAGAAAAACCTATACTTCATTTTTCAAACAAAAATAAAGTTCTTCTAATATAATTTAAGTCTAATAAAGACTTTTCTTAATCTTATTACTGTAAGTTGCTAAATCAGTTTTTCTTCTAAATAAAGTGACTTGCTTACTGTTTTTAGGTATTCCCAAAACATTCTCAAGATATAGCAAAATAGATAATAATAAAGCTTCTATTTCACTGACACTTTGCAACATAGCTCAACAGAGCAGAACCTAAAACATTAACGCTTTTATATTTTAAATTATTCAAAAATAATACATACCCAACATTAGCTTTGTCTGGAAAGTCCAAAGTTCCTCCATATATAAAATGCATCATAACATTCATTTCTACATGGTTTATACTGAAAAATAAAAGAAAGCTCAAATCCAGAAATAACTGCAATTTAGCTGATAACAACGATATTCTATTTCCTCATAAACTTTTAGTCAAGATGATGTTCTAATCTTACTTTTATCTGATGAATATATTCTTCAAATAACATCTATGTAGAAATAGTATTGGTTTAAAATGAACATTAGCTATGGATTTTTATATAACCTATAAAATGTTATTAGTATACTATGAAATCCTCGATTATTTATTGAACAACTTCTAGTAGAGACTTTTAGAGTTAGAAGGGCCTTTAGAAGCCATTCTCCAATCTCTGGCTCATTAAGAAAACCTCAGTCTCTTCAACAAATGGCTTCTGGTTTCACTTAAAGCCTCAGATGGATAACGATTCACTAGAGAGGTTCTTGTTATGCTGTTAAATCATAATACCTGTCAGTGGCTGTAGCTTGGCCAATGTCCTCATGATGCAGATGAAAAAATAAAACTATGACTTAAGAAGTAGTTTGGAGCACCAACCTTTAAGTCCTACTGACTACTGAATTTCAAGCTCTGAATTCATGACCTCCTTCCTCCTCCCCACCCCAAATTCAGTCCTCTTTCTATGATTCCTCCTTGTTGACAGCACTGTTCCAGAGCTGGTCCTCTGTACCAAGGGGAGTAAGTTATCTGATGGATGGACAACAACCATTGCTTGACTGTCAGGAGAAACTCAAGACAGGAGGTAATTTGATTTCTCTTTTCCTTTTTTCTTTGCTGAACCAGTGGGAAGAATAATTAGGAAGAAGATGCAGGTAGACTCAGACTTCCTCTTGGATGGACTGTTTCAGAGGGAGATGGTTAGCAAGCCAACTTTGCATTAAAGCACATTCCATAAGCGGACCATCCATAATCTGAAAATCCAAAAGCCAAAATGCTCCCAAGTTCAGAACGTTTTGAGGACTGACATGAGACAGTGACACCTTTGCTTTCTGATGAGTCAGTGCACACCAATGTGTTTCAAGAACAAAATTATTTTAAATATGGTATAAAATTGCCTTCAGGTTATAAGGTGTTGTGAAAGTTGATGATATAAACTGGATCATTCTTATAATGCCCAATTGAATCAGAGTCACGGGACTGGGGGGAAGGGCAAGTACTTGGGGTACATGGCACCTGCTCCAAGAATTGAATTTTCTGCAAGGCCAGCTGCAGAAATGGGCTGCTACATGGAGCCCTACCACTAGTTCTACCTGTAGCTGCTGAAATGACTGGCCATGACTCTAAAACTAGCTTGGCCCACTGCCTTCCTTCGCCAATCAGAGCTTCACAGCTCCTGAAAGTTTCTCTGTGCCAGTGAGCTTTCTTTCAAAACAATACATATTTCTCTTTCTAATAAAACCTCTGACCTTCTCGATGTTCTTTGGACATACTGAAAGACCATACTGGTCTGTGTGTATGCCCTAAAATGCAATTCTGTAGTTCTCAAATAAAATGTTTAATTTAGAGATTTGTCTCCATATTTTATTTTTACTTCAACATTTGTATATAAAATATAAATAAATTTTTTTGTTTAGACTCAGGCCCCATCCCCAAGATATCGTATTATGTATATGCAAATTTTCCAAAATCGAAACAAAATCTAAAATTCTCTGGTTCCAAGCATTTTGGATAACGATAAGGGATACTCAACCTGTTCTGCTTTAACAGTTTTTGTTGGTAATAAAGGAAATGCTTTCTTTTTTCTTTTTTTTCTTTTGTCAGAGTCTCACTCTGTCGCCTAGACTGGAGTTCAGTAGCATGATCGTGACAATCACAGCTCACAGCAGCCTCGACTTTCTGGGCTCAGGCGATCCTTCTACCTCTGCATCCCAAGTAGTTAGAATTACAGGCACATGCCACCATGCTCGCCTAATTTTTAAAACTTTTTTCTTTTGAGTTGGAGTCTCACTCAGTCACCTAGGCTAAAGAGCAGTGGCACACTCACGGTCACCCCAGCGTCAACCTGCTGGGCTCAGGTGATCTGCCTCAGTCTTCCAAGTAGCCGGAACTACAGGCGCACGCTACCATGCCTGGCTGATTTTTGATTTATTGTAGAGATGAGGTCTTGCCAAGTTGCCCAAGCTGTTCTCGAACCCGTGGGCTCAGGCAATCCCCTTACCTAGGCCTCCCAAAGTGCTGGAATTACAGGCTTGAGCCACCATGCCTGGCCTTAAAACTTTTTTGCAGAGATGAGGCCTTGCTATGTTGCCCAGGCTGGTCTCAAACTCCTGGGCTCAAGCGATTCTCCTGCCTCAGCCTCCCAAAGTGCTAGGATTACAGGCATGAGCCACTGTGCCCTGCCAAAAGAAATGTTTTCTTATTCTACTTGCTGATTCTTTGGTTTTTTTCAGAACAGAAAGAAAATATGCTATTTATTGGCCCCTCCAAACTCCAACAGATATTTTTCATCTAGAGTCTAAGTCAGAACCTGAGGTTCATTGTAGTCCTCTCCCTCATTGGAGCCTGTCTGTACCTTCGAGAACGTCTTGAGTTCAGCCTCCATTCTCTGTCCCCTTGAGGCACTGCCCAAGTTCAGCCCCTCTCACTTCTAAAACTCTTCAACTATTCTCCGAAGCCTACAGAAGCAAGTCCTTAGCTTGGTGTACAAAATTCTTTATCATCTGACCTCCGGTTTTCCCTCTCCAGCAGCTGTTCTAAGATAACAGAACTAGCTCCTTTTCTATGCCTGCACAACTTGTAATTCCTTATACATCCACACCTTATACTTAATGCTCTCCCACTCCACTGAACTTCATCATTCAGACACAAGACACGTGGCTCTTTATCTCTGAGTTTCCCTAAAGTGCACCCAAGGTGGAAAAAAGAAATCACTGGATGTTATAAACAGTAACCGACATCTACTGACCACTAGGAGCTAGCCCCTGAGCTAATGAACATTTTGAATGCTACTGGCTCATTTAATCATCATAACAACTCAACAGTAGACACTACTATTTGTCTCATTTTATAGATGAAGAAACTGAAATTGAGTAACTTGCCCAAGGTCAAAAGGCTAGTAATGTACCGGAATTTAAATCCAAGCAGCCTGACTCCAAAGCCTGGGCTCTCCAGCAGGATGCAACACAGATGCCCATGATCACATCTGCCAAGCTGACCTGCAGTGGTTTTCTTTACATATTTGTCTCTCCCTCTGGACTGTATTCTGCAAGTGTAGGGCTGTGCCACCTAGCCTTATAGCCCCTGGTACCAGCAGAATGTCAGCACTGATTCAGTACTCCCAGGATCAGAATTTCCTTTCCCCACATGATACAGGAGCTCTGTAGTAGAATCATGATGGGGACAGTGCTAATAAGAACCCCCCCCATTATGTGAAGCACAGTACCTAATATCTGCCAAAGGAACAAAATGAGGACAGCAAAAAGAAACTAAGTGGACAAGTTTGCAATGTTGGGCTTATAAAAAGAAACAAACAGAAGATGAAGAAAACAAATGGCATCTCAGAGGCTAGGAATCAGAAAGATGTTTGCTTTGATTCTATGGCTGTAAATAATATATGTTGAATAAACGTTTGATGATTGTTTAATGAATGGCTTATTAGGAGACTTACAGCATCTTCCCAAACCTTCAGAGAAACACTGAGTTAAAAATACATAACTATTTTTTCCATTAATTTAATATATATTTACTGGCCCTTACTATAGCTAAGTACTAGTTTCTGCTGAATCAAAACATTGCATCTTTAGTGCTTAGAAAAAAAGGCACATAGCAAAATATTATCAGTTATATAACATGGATATGACAAGATCTGATCTCAGAATAATTAGGTCATATTATTTATAGCTTATTAACCTAAAAAATTAGCATAATTGCTAGAATGTACACTATTCCATAAACCTTTTTTTTTTCCTTCAGATTTTCAAGTCATCCTTACCAACATTAATGAGAACTGGCTATTTATGTCGAAAGAATCGTTTCTTTTAAAATTTGACACGTTTAAGCAAAAGATAATAATTAAATAAAAACAAAAGCCACTTTATTAAAATAAACAGCAACATCTAGACATTTGAGCCTATATATCAATACATACGATAGCTATAAAAACAGCAAGAAATGGTTTTCCTGCTGTCTTGACAGATGTTTTACTAAGCTGTGCTCTCGTTATGCTGTAAGTCAATTGTAGTTTTACTAAAAGTGCTTATGAAGGCACGATCAACTGACCTAGAAAAGCAACAAATTATTCCAATAGCTCACAGTTTAAATGGAAAGATTTAAAACACTATTCCCATTAAGATGTAATCAGAATAAAAGCTTGTAGGAGATGGAAACATTACATATACTCAGGGTTAGAGAAAAGAAAAACCGATGAAAAGATCAAGATCTATGATCAGAGACTATCATGCCCCTGGTCTACTAAAACCTCTGTGTTTCATGTATGCTTTCTAAAGGTCTAGGCTCCTATATGGGCCCTGTGCATGGCTAAAGAAACATAGGAACTACATTCCTTCATTAGTTTGTCCATTCACATTTTTATTTTATTCTTCTTCTTTTTTTGAGTTGAAGTCTCACTCTGTCACTCAGGTTGGAGTGCAGTGGCACACTCTTTTTTTTTTTTTTATACTGCAGAGATAAGGTCTCATCAAGGTGCCCAGGCTGGCCTTGAACCCCTAGGCTCAGGCAATCTTCCCACCTCTACCTCCCAAAGTGCTGGAATTATAGGCATGAACCACTGGGCCCAACTAGTCCCTCTTAATATTTATTGAATGACAGGCTCTATTCTGGACCTTAGGGATACAAGAAGCTTATATCCTAAGGGGAAGGAAATAAATAATAAATATGTAATACATATATATTTATTTATAATACATATACATATATATATATACACACACACACACAAAAGATAATTTTAATAATGAAAAGTACCAAGAAGACAACACAACAAGAAAATATAAAAGAGACTAACCGAGGAGCTGGGCTGTAACTACCTTAGGTGGGGTGGTCTGGGAAGGTGACACTTGATCTGAGATTTCA